TAAGGAGCATTTTGGTTAACCATAATTGATTTGGTCAACTAGGTCAAACCAAGAACTTTGGTTTTACTTCAATACACTCCAAATAATATTTAGAATGCATTGGAAAAGGTTTTAAAGGCTTGTTTGAATGAGCCATGTTGAGTTTTAAGGGAAATATTGATTTTACCTTAAGGATTTCAGGGTTTGGTGGGCCCATAGTCAACCAAGTTCCACCAAATATTTAGTTTTATGTTTAACATGTCATAAGGATGATTATGAACATGTTCAAAGTTTTTGGGGAAATTCCTAAGGTCAAATTTCATAAAATGCATGGCCTAGTCACATGGGCTATAAATATTTAAAGGTTTTACAACCTTTAGAAATATTCCATTTCAGAGTTTAATATGCTCAGATTGGCCTCAAATTTGGATGGTTTATTCTAGAGACATGCCTAATTAATATGAAACTGATAAATTATGAATTGAAATTCATTTGGTTTTATTTTGAGATCATTGAAAATTTACTTAAAAAGGATTATGGGATCTTCCTGAAATGTTAGTAATGACAGAAAATAGCAGAAATCAAAGATATTCAATGAATATTAGTTAAGGTGACATTATTTATCATCATCAAAATCTCAAACTCGGGGTCATAGATTGCAACACTATCATCAATTCCCCCACTATATACTTTAAGTGAAACATGATGAAAATTTAAATATTAATCTCAAGAAACCAAACCCATGCTACTATTATACAACACTTACAATGTATCTCTATGTAATTAGCCTTAATTGAAAGTTCTTTCTCAATATATGGAGGGGTTTAACTATAAGTGCATGTGCCTATAGGAAACCTGAACTCATATCATAAAGTCCTCGCAAAATGAGGGTGAAATCTTTGGGTGATGTCTTATTCACAATCCAATATGCCTTCTAAAAAATTATATTGGAACATACTTGTTAAAACTATCCTTGATAACCCAAAAAAGAAAGAAAGAAATGGGGGTTCACAGAGGCTAGGGCACAAATTTTTGGAGCCCATATTCATGTAGTTTATATGCATGCTTCTAAAGTAAAATATTTAACAAAGCTATGTCTCAACCTCACTAATACGTAGTGGTTGGAGGACAAACCCTAGAGACAAAAATAATTATCTCAAAAAAATTATTATCAGGAAATTAGAAAGTTATAAACTTTTACCCTTTTCTCTTTCTCTTCTTTTCTCATTATCTCTCTACTTTTATTAGCCAATCTTATTTGTAAATTTTAGGAGTCTCTAATTAGAAAGATTTTATTATCCTCTAAGACATGGTGAGTCTGAATTGATGTCATCAATTGAAAGATAGACCTTATTAGTACACAATATGGAGTGATAAAGTGAATAGTCAAAGTTGATAGAGAATTAGGAGTTTATCATGAACCAAAAACTTGGTTTGTGGAAGATAGGATCAAGAAAATGATCCAAAGAACCCTACAGTAGGGAACTAAAGGTGTTACTTGTACAGAGAACCAAATATGACTCAATTGACTCTCATACCCCCCCTAAGACCATGAGTCTTCACTCATTAACCTCAATTTTGATGGTCAATGCCCCTTATTATCTCAAAAGCATTGAAAAAACTTTCAAATCGCAAAGTGCTAAGGACTATAAACTAACTTTAATTAATGCTTTTACCAAAAAAATCATTGAAGCATGTCCTCTGATGAAGTATATGATCCCACCTCAACTCTTACCCTATCAATCACATCACTCACTTTAAGTATACTACTTCTCTAATGAATGATGCACTATAAATGAATAATACTTTTTACCACCTTAAATGAGTCACTAAATCAGTGAGTTTGCCTCCTTCCTTTAAGGAACTTTGTCTAATTTTTTAAATTCAAGAGGCAATACATTAGGTAGTTCACTAATGCTTAAAAATGAGTGAATAATTATAAGGCCTTACTAAAAATAATATAAGCAAGGTGAACCTTTTTGAAACTTCATTATTTGATTTCTTCATGAGATGCTTGAAGTTCAATTTTTAGAGCTAACTATGAAATAAACAATGCCTTGGGTAGGTGTGAATGTATCTTGTCATTGTCTTAATATGAAAAAGTTGGCATAACCTAGTGTTGGTGGAGTAAATCAATTATGAGACTCATCATAGAGGTTTATGAAGAATATCAAGCATCAAATTATTTTGACCCCACCACAAGGGCAAGATTAAGGATTCAAGAAGATATAAAGAGCAATGAAGAACCCGTTACAAAATCAAAGGATCAAGAGCCATTTATCTAGCATGAAAAAATTTAAAAAGTCTAAATTTGGAAATATATGTGGTTGTATAAATGATTAAAATTAAAATTTTGAAAATTTTTCGTTTTTTTCTTTATTATTATTTTATTTTGTGTGGAAAAGGATTTGAAGTGATTCTGCTCTATTTATAATTATTTGTTTTGGCTTTAATATTTTCCCTTTATTTATTTCTTTGATTTTAAGCTTTATAACATGATGTAATCATTCAAATGTTTACTTTGATGAATAAAAGGAGCCTTTTATCTTAAAAAAATAATCATTATATCATGATGTAATCATTTTTAAGGTTTTTCCCAAGTCGTCAACAATAAAAAATATCTCTACGCCTTTATGAGTTTATTCTTGAGAATTATGCCATGAGAAACTAAGAATTCATTCACCCAAAATTGACTAAGATTATGGATCGGATTGATGAATAGAGAAATTAGATGGATATTTCAGTGCCACAAATCCAAAATCTTTCCACTAAAAGTCCTACCCAACCTCTTTCATTTGCATAGCCCACGAATTTGGATTTAGAGGATAACAAACCTCGCTAAAACTCTATGGAAGATCATCCCCTTAAGAAGTAACCTTTTGATTGGAATGATAGCAATGACTACCACCATGATAAGCAAAAAAATTATAATGATTCTTTTAAGAGAATTAAAGTTGAAGAATCCACCTATAATGATGTATATGATCCTTTAATTTTTGGATTAGGTAGTATAAAAGGATAAGTTTTTTTAATGTAAAGCGCTGGATGATGATTAGAGGATAATTTTTACTAAGAGAAAACTTACTATTAATGCAAATATCTATTAGAGTAGCATATTAATATAAGAGTAGTGATTAGAAATGATCAACCTCACTTGGGCAGGGGTAAAGGATATACTTAGGGCTAAGCATTACCCAAGGCACTATAATAAGATATTATAAGAAAAAACTTCTAATTCTAACACATGAAACCCTTTAGGACACTAAGTTCCTCAACACTTTTGAGGCTTAATTTTTAGGACCAATAGTGCAAATAATAATTGACAGCATGCCAATAAATTTATTATTGGTCTTAGGATGGATATTAAGAATGGAGAAGATGTTTGAACTTTAAAATTTAAAGGATGGTTTTTATAATGCAATCATGATGGAAAAGCAAAAAAAAGGCTACCTCCTTTCAAAATCATATGAGCTAAAGCACTTCTTCTCATACCCACAACAAAACTACTAATAAGTATTATTTGAACATTAATGGTATAAAAGCTACTGGAATCCTATTGAGGAGAGTTTTAAGAAAGTTAGAAAGATCATATATTATCAGAAGAGTATATATACAGAATTCGAACAATCATACATAAATCGTATAACAGACATAACAGATAACAACTCAATCAGAAATCAAACATCGGATACGAAAAGCTGAAGTCATATCAAAATCCAAGTTCAAATCATAGATCATAAAGCTTCACATCACCGATCAGATAGGATCATACAGAATAACCAACAACGTACAGAAATCATAGCAGAAATAATCACATTACAGCTTTACAGAACAGATAATTTCAGAACAGAACTTCTCCTTATATCTTCCTTGTGCTTATAGCACCAGAACTTCCCCTTATGGCTCCCTTTTGTGCTTATAGCAATAGAACATAATAGATATACAGAATTTCAGATTTCAGAACTTCCCCTTATGTCTCCCTTCCTGGACCCAGACAACGGAATCACAAAGAATTTCGGCCCCTTATAACTCCCTTCTGATAACATACAATTAATCAATTCATTCAATGTACAATCCAGGAAAAAAACAGAATTCGTACGAAAAACCAGCGGCATAACGGCAGTATACGGAATTTATACAAAATTCACAGAATCAGAAATTTACCAAATTACCACAGAACATTCACAACAACATTGTAAGACTTTCATTGTACTGACAAAACATTTTTCAACATCCTGATAATTTGCAGTATAATTAAAACACCGCAGAATTCCAAATATCAGGTAAAAATCTTCCAGAAAATACTCAAAACATGCACAATTATCATCTCAGAAACATACCAAAAGTTACGCGGTAAAACCTTTGTCAGAAGAAAATAATACCAGAAATTCACTAATGGAAACAAAATTCGGAACAGAAAAGTCGTCAAAATCCACGTTTCTGAAAATTGAGAAAGGCGGAATGTGCCTTACCTCGAGTCGGTCAACTTTCCCAACTACGGCGACGGACGAAAACGGACGGAAGTCGCCCAAAAATTCACTTTTCTTCCTCTTTCCACGGGTTTTCTCTCTCCTGGGCTTTCTCTCTCTTCAAAATGACTTAAATCAGATATTTATTAGCAGGATCGTCCCGGACGATGTCCCCGATCGTTCCGGGACGATCTTCTCTGGATTCAAATCGTCTAGACGAAATAAATTCCAATTTCTTCATCCCTGGACGAAACTATCTGTCTTGGTTCGTCCCGACGGTTCATCCCGACTATTCCAGGTTCGTACAGACGAACGTGCAAATTTCTTCATAATTTATACAGATCGTCCCGGGACTATCCACTTCGTCCCGGATGATCCTAGGAGGAAAACTGCCTTTACAATCTTCCCAACTTCAGAAAAATGTCATCCTCGACATTTCCAAACCAAACTGAGTCAAAACAGGTACAGATATGAGTGCCTCATATCCGACTCCTTCTCCCAAGTCGCTTCCCGTGCTATTCTGTGCTTCCACTGCACTTTAATCATTGAAATTTATTTACTTCTTAACTTGCGCACATCATAGGACAAAATTTGCTCAGGTTCTTCTTTGTACTGCAGATTCTCCTGAATTTCAACCTCATCAGCAGACAACTTCTTATCAGAGTCAGATATCCACTTTTTTAAAGAGGATATGTGAAATACATTATGCACATAAGACAGCTGATCTGATAATAACAATCTATAAGTAGACTTTCCAATCCTTTCAAGGATTTCAAAAGGTCCAACATATCTTGGACTGAGTTTGCTCACTCTTCCAAATCTGCTGACACCTTTCATCCGACTGACTTTGACATACACAAAGTCACCAACCTGAAATTCTACGAATCTGTGCTTCTGATTGTAATACTTCTGTTGCCTATCTTGTGCAGCTTTCAATCTTTCATTAATCAAATTGATTTTCTTAACAGTTTCATCCACAAATATTGCACCCATTTACTGTCTATCTCCCACCTAAGTCAGAGTCAAAGGAGTTCTACACTTCCGGCCATAAAAAGCTTCATAAAGTGCCATACCAATACTGGACTGGAAACTGTTATTATAAGCAAATTCGATCAAAGGGATATGATCTTCCCAGCTTCCTCTAAAATCCAAAACACATAACCTCAGAAGATCTTCCAATACCTGAATAGTCCTCTCAGACTGTCCGTTAGTCTGCGGATGAAAAGCAGTGCTGAAATGCAACTTCGTACCCAAGCCTTGTTGAATACCCTTCCAAAGACTGGAAGTAAACCGTCCATCTCGATCAGATATAATCACTTTAGGCACACCGTGTAATCTAACAATTTCCTTCACATATACCTGTGCCAATTTATCCACTGAATCCGTCTGCCTGATCGGAAGAAAGTGTGCAGACTTCGTCAATCGATCCACAATCACCCAGATGGCATCATGCCCTTGCTTAGATCGAGAAAAACCCATAGCAAAGTCCATCGTTACCTCCTCCCACTTCCACTCAGGGATAGGCAACGATTGCAAAAGACCTCCTGGTCGCTGATATTCTGCCTTCACTAACTGATAGGCTTCGCATTTCGCAACAAAATCTCCTACATCCCTTTTCATTCCAGGCCACCATAACAAACTCTTCATATCTCCGTACATCTTACCACTTCCCGGATGAATCGTATAGCCTGAATGATGAGATTCGTACATAATCTCTTTCCTTAAATTTCCAAACACAGGAATCCACAGTCTATTCTTACAGAAAATAACACCAGAATTAGAAACTCGTAGTTCAGGTTTCTTACGAGATTCAATCTGAGCAATTAACTTCAAATAGTCAGAGTCTGACTTCTGAGCTTCCTAAATCCTTTCTTCCAGAGAAGACTGAATGTTCATCTGAGTCAAAACAACAGAATCCGGACTAGAAGAGGAAATCACCTCCAAGTGTAATCTTTCTATATCTCGTATCAGATAGTCATTAGAAGTCAATTGAATACCTGATAATCCAGAAGACTTCCTGCTCAAAGCATCTGCTACCACATTAGCCTTACCAGGCTGATACTGAATCGTCAGGTCATAGTCCATGATCAACTCAAGCCATCTTCTTTGCCTCAAATTCAGATCCTTCTGAGTGAATATGTACTTCAAGCTCTTATGATATGTAAAGATCTCACATCTGACGCCATACAAGTAATGACGCCAAATCTTTAAAGAAAAAATAACTGCAGCCAATTTCAAATCATGCGTCGGGTAATTCTTTTCATGTGGTTTCAACTGTCTCGAAGCATAGGCTATTACCCTACCATGCTGCATCAGAACATAGCCCAAACCTTTCAGTGAAGCATCACTGAACACCTGAAATCCTTCCGTACCTGACGGAAGTGCTAACACAGGAGTAGATGTCAAACAATCCTTCAACCTCTGAAAACTGGCTTCACATTCCGGTGTCCAAACGAAAGATATTGACTTCTGAGTCAGTCTCATCAGAGGCATAAAAATCTAGGAAAATCCCTTCACAAACTTTCTATAATATCCAGCCATGCCTAAGAAACTATGTAACTCAAATACCGTAGTAGGCCTCGGCCAATTAGCAACAGCTTGAATCTTCTGGGGATCAATAGAAATACCTTCACCGCTCACCACATGCCCCAGAAAAGAAATGCTCTTCAGCCAGAATTCACACTTGGAAAACTTAGCATACAACTAATGCTGCCTCAAAGTCTCCAACACAATGCTCAAGTGTCTTACATGACATTCCTCAGAAGTAGAATACACTAGAATATTATCGATGAAGACGATCACAAACTGATCCAGATACTCCTTGAACACTCTGTTCATCAGATCCATGAAAACAGCTGGTGCATTGGTTACCCCAAAGAGGAATAACCAAAAACTTGTAGTGCCCGTACCGAGTACTGAAAGCTGTCTTCAACACATCAGCTTTCTTTACCTTCACCTGATAGTATCCATATCTCAAATCAATCTTTGAAAATACAGAAGAACCAGAAAGCTGGTTAAACAAGTCATCAATTCATGGTAATGGATACTTGTTCTTGATCGTGACTTTATTCAAATCTCTGTAATCAACACACATACGGAGTGTTCCGTCCTTCTTCTTCACAAATAGTACAGGTGCTCCCCAAGGAGAAATACTAGGACGAACAAATCCCCTATCCACCAACTCCTGGAGCTGAACTTTCAACTCAAAAAGTTCTTTCGGTGCCATCTTGTACGGAGCTTTAGATATCAGATCTGTACCCGAAAATACATCACTACAGAACTCAACGTCTCTATCTGGAGGCAAACCAACCAACTCCTCAGGAAAAAAATCATAAAATTCTCGTACAACCGGGATATAAGAAATAGAACCCACATCTATGTTCATATCCTGTACAGAAGCCAAAAATATTGGGCAACCTTTCTTCCACATTCTTCTAACTTTTAACACAGAAATCAAACAGGAGAGAACACCTCATAATCCTTGAAATACACATCTCTCACCATCCATAAGCAAGCTCACTTACTTCTTCAAATAGTCAATCTGAGCCTCATACAGACTCAGCCAATCCATAGCCAAAATCACGTCGTAAGAAGAAATCGGCAATAAAATCAAACTTGACTTCCATTTCTTGCCAGAAATATCAAGCTCACAGAAACAAAACTTCTGGGCGATCAAATTACTTCCAGCCGACAAAATAACATAAAGAGAAACCGGTAGCAAAACAGAATCCAGATGCAAAGCATCAAAACAGCGCTCATAAAGAAAAGAGTGACTGGCTCTAGAATCAAACAAAACACGACAGGGATGTTCAGAAATATAAATCGTACATGTCACCACATCTGGAGCATCTCGAGCCTCCTGCTGACTCAAATTGTACACACGTGGCTGAACTGGAGCTGGAGCTACTGAACCACTAGACTCCCGCTGACTACTAGTAGGTGGTCTCCATGCCACAGAACTCGACCCATTACCTCTAGTAGAGGATCCTTCAGTCACAGTACGTAGAGGAACAGTCTTAGGCCTTTCTGCTGAACCAACAGGTCTACTATCAGATCGAAACTCAGAATGTCGATCAAATCCAGCCTGTGGACACTCTGCAATCCGATGTCCTGGCTGACCACATCTGAAGTACTGACCAGTCATCCTGTAGCACTGGCCAAAATGTCGTCGTCCATAATTTTGGCACACAGATGCCCCACTGACAGATCCAGAACTGGTCGTACTGGTATTGGCAGTACCATAAAATCCTGACTGTCCACTCCTCCTGGAGTCTCCAGAAACAAATCTCCTCTTGCCAGAGGAACCACTACTAGAAGCATCACCCCCAAACCTCTTCCTACTCGCAGTCCACCGCTACTGAGTAACCATCAAATCGTTGTTTATCAAACAAGCTCTCTCCATAAGCTCAGAGAAATTAGAAATATGAAACGGTACCAGGGGCTGCCTCAGACTATCTTGTAGTCCCCTTAGAAATTTATAGCACTTATCAGCATAAGTACTTATCAACTGTGGAACATATCTGGCTAAAGTAGTGAACTCTGTCTCGTATTGCATCACTGTCCTGCTCCCCTGAACTAGCCTCAGAAAAGTCTCCTGCATCTTCTGTCTTGCAGAAGGAGGTACAAACCACGATCAAAATACCTCAAAAAACTCTTTCCAAGAAATCAGAGAGTTTAGCTTTTCTTGGAACTTTTCCTCCTACTGGCCCATCCACCAACGCTCAGCCTCGCCATCCAACAGAAAAACTGCCAACGGTACATTCCTGTCCGACGGACACTGCATATCATCAAAAGTCTTCTCTAACCTTCTCAGCCACTCTTTAGCTACTATGGGCTCAACAGTGCCCTCAAACCTCAGAGGTTTCAATCTCAGAAATATCCCAGATCGAACAGTAGAGGCTTTACACTGAGTCTCGCTCATCATCTGAGCAACCAATATAGCAAACTGAGAAAGTGTATAAGAACCAACCACTGGGGTAGAACTACTCACTGGAGCTGCCTGACTAGCACTCTGTCCATTTGTCATATCAGGGTCTGGCAGATCCATAATCACATAGAAAACTACGCATAAAAATAACATAATAAAAATCAGACAAACCTGAACTACCCCGATAGACTTACACATATCACTTCCTATAGCTCTGTTTTACGATCCAAATTCTAAAACCATTGCTCTGATACCACTAAAAGGCTTGTCACGACCCAATCCGACCGGGACGGATCCCGCTCGCATCGGGTCTCGACACAACCATTGAAAATCCAGGATCTAGCTTTGGAATTTGCTTCAGAACTTTCTTCCAAGTATTAAATAGAAAGAAAAACACAGAGCTACTATAAACATCCAAATACATAACAGTTCATCTATCTTTTCTTTCCTCAAAATAATCATACACAATACAATCCATGGCTTCAGATAGAAATAACAGAACAGAACAGAAAAGCCATGACTGTACAAAAATCAAAAGTACAAAATACTTAATCTCAGATCAGACACAGAACTTCTAGTCCAAGACTTCCTTCCCTTTCCCAGAACCTGAAAACCACGCAGAAAATAAGAATGAGCTAACAGCTCAGCAAGACATCAATCACCAATCAAAATAGTCAGAAACTCACATCAGAAGAGTATCCGTACAGAATTCAAACAATCGTACAGAAACCGTATAACAGACAGAACAGATAACAACTCAATCAGAAATCAAACATCGGATACGAAAAGCTGAAGTCATATCAAAATCCAAGTTCAAATCATAGATCATAAAGCTTTACATCACCGATCAGATAGGATCATACAGAATAACCAACAATGTATAGAAATCATAGCAGAAATAATCACATTACATCTTTACAGAACAGATAATTTCAGAACATAACTTCCTTCCAAATGTCAAAACTTCCCCTTATATCTCCCTTGTGCTTATAGCACCAGAACTTCCCCTTATGGCTCCCTTTTGTGCTTATAGCACCAGAACAGAATAGATATACAGAATTTCAGATTTCAGAACTTCCCCTTATGTCTCCCTTCACGGACCCAGACAATGAAATCACAAAGGATTCCGGCCCCTTATAACTCCCTTATGATAGCATACAATTAATCAATTCATTCAATGTACAATCCAGGACAAAAACAGAATTCATATGAAAAACCAGCGGTATAACGGCAGTATAAGGAATTTACACAAAATTCACAGATTCAGAAATTTACCAAATTACCACAGAATATTCATAACAATATTGTAAGACTTTCATTGTACTGACAAAATATTTTTCAATATTCAGATAATTTGCAGTTCAATTAAAACACCGCAGAATTCCAAATATCCGGTAAAAATCTTCCAGAAAATACTCAAAACGTGCACAATTATCATCTCACAATTTGTACAGACGAACGTGCAGATTTCTTCACAATTTGTATAGATCGTCCCTGGACGATCCACTTTGTCTCGGACGATCCTGGGAGGAAAACAGCCTTTACAATATATTTCAAGTGCCATATAAATATGTAATAAATACTACTAATAAGTATTATCCCATACAAGGAATAATGGAGAAGCTATACACATGTACTAAATTTATATTATAAATTAGACTTGTTTAATGTATATCGGAGGATTTCTTGTATGCAATGTCAAAGGTAGAACTTAGTAGTTCTCTACATCATAAAGAGTTTAATGAGTCTTCATCAAAATTTTATTTAGGAACTTTAATAATTTTCTTATGAATAATCCATTACCTTCTATTTATTACAACTTAGTTTTCATAACTATGTTTTTCATGTCATGTGTGTTTTTGATGATTCCAAATATTATTATCTTGATTAATGTTTCTCCTGGCATATATTGGATATATTTCTTTTGTTGTTTGTGTGTACTAACATTTCAAGGAAATCATTCTCCAGATTATTGAAGATCTCAAATCAGATTATAATAGGGTTCATTGTAACTGGAGTATGTATTTTTAATTTTATTGAGTCTGAGAGAGTGTGATTGTAATTGAGTAATCGTAGACACACACACATTGGGGGAGTGTTAAAATTTTGTAATTTTTTAAACTAATCGTACTATACGATTTACATTTGTACGGGACAATTTGTTCAGTTATTTAATACGAAGAGACCTTCATACAGACGACATATAGAGTACAAAATATATATGCACAAGTTCATCTCGATGATCATAAAAAATTTTCTGAATTAATCATATTGTACGAAGTGTTCTTCGTACAAACGACGTCCAAAGTACGAAAGATTGGGTCTTTTTTCATCCCGACGATCTTAAAATTTTCTGAACAGTTCATACAATACGATATAGGTTCGTACTATATGATCATCGTGTATAAAAATGTTTCATCCAAGTTCATACGAGCAAATTTTAAACTGTTTGTAAGTATGATTATCGATTGTACCGTACGATCATGTTCGCTCAAAATTAAAATTTTTAGTTTTGTGGATGATTTTTTATGTCTTTCATATAAAAGATCCTTAGAAACTGACTTGGACGAATCAAGTCTTCGTGATTTCTTAGAGAGCAAGTGAAAGTGTGATTTGGGAGAGTGTGTGAGAGAGAGTTCTTGCAAGTGGATTATGAAGGGTTCACAAGGTTACTTAAATATAAGAATATCTTTTGTGTTTGAGTCACTTTTTTTCCTTTCTTCTTTCTAATTGCTCGAGAGAAAATCTTTGAAGAAGATCTGGTACTCTGCCGACACTTGAAAGGTGTGAAAGGATGATGCTACTCTGCTGCATTGTTAATTGGTGGAAGAGAGAAAATTTGTAAAGGCTTCTTCGCTTTGCTGTGGGGGCAAAAGGAGAGTCATTTTGGTAACAGTGCAATATCTGAAGAGGGAGTCTTCAAGGAGTGGACGTAGGTTTTGTTGAATCGAACCACTATAAACCTTTGTGTTCTTTTTATTTCCGCATTTTATTTTCTGCATTTTGTTATTGTGGTTGAAAAGGCTATTTTAACAGAAAATTTGATTCTGTTAAAATTATTAAATAATTTTTCTAAAATTTATCAAGAGACTTTTAAATTACCAATTCACCCCCTTTTTGGATAGCCTTGAGACAATTGCATAGGTCTAACAACTTTTACAGACTTTTCACTATTTTCATATATTCTTTTTGTTGTCATGTATAGCTCACACCTTTTAAATACATCATTTGGTATAAGAACTACAAAAACTAGATATCTACTACATGCTAGGTGAAATTTGATAACTTCACCTTTTCTTTGCAATATTATTTATGTTCATAGTTATGCTACAAAATTCATCTTAGGGTTCTTTTCTCGTTATTCTTTGACATTAATTTTACAAGGAGTTAAAGGCTTGCTGGTCATCTTGTGCCGATTCTTTGGAGAGTGCCAACCCTTTCTAAAATATTGTTGGAAGAGTAAGATTGAATTTCTTTTGATGTTTTTTGAGTTGCTCTTGGTCCACAAAATATTTTGGGATTGAATAAAGATTAGGGATTAGAACTAGTTAGTATAAAACATTGGTGGGATACGAATGTTGCTTTGGATAAATGAATTGAATTTCTTGTGTTGAGTTCTTAAATAGTGTAAGAATTACTATTTTATTTATGATAAAAAAACAAACTATCATAAACATCCAAAATTGAAAGGAATTCTATTATTACCATTATTTCCATCATACAATGAAAAAAATTAAGTATTATCATCTTTATTGTTATATATATATATGTTTGTATAATTTAAAAATAAAATTATTATAAATAAATTAAATATTTATATGTCAATATATGTTATATTAAAAATAATATAAATTGGTATGTATGAACCGCCTATTTATTTGAATCAAAATGTATTCTTTATAATACAAATTACTATATAAAATTATTTTTTCAAGAATGAATATATATATAATATTATAGGAAAGGGTACTGAACATAGTCCTTTACGAAACAAAGATGTTATGGTACCAATGATGTGTTTGATCCGGTTTAAGTTAACTGTGAAAGTAAAGCAGAAAAAATAACTCAGGCAGATGCACTTTACTAATATGGTTGTTTGGGATGGCTTTTACTGCTTCTTAAAACAACTTTTAGTACTAAAAGCTGCTTCAAAAAGCGTAAGAAAAGCATCCCAAAGAAGCTATATATGAAGAAGATGATAGCTCAAACTCAAAAATGGCAGCACTGCAGGGTTCTGGACAAAGCAGTGTGGTGGTGACTCTGTTTACATTTCGCATAACTTTATGGCCGTAGAAGATATCCAATTGCAATTCCTACGAACAAGTGAAGACCAAAAGAGGTGGGAGCGCCTGAACCTTGAAGCAGCTCTCCTTCTCAGGAATCTATACATGAAAGATATAAACTGTTCAGCAATTTACGGGAGGACTGAGGAATCTAATTTTGTTTCTAGAGGTAGTAAGAGACTCACAAGTTCTGTCGTGAGATGTCCCTATCGCGGATGTCCCCCGTCTCTTCTTCCAATATTGCGATCACCTTATCAGCCTGTGGAGTTCCCAAGAAAGTTTAAATAAAAGAAGATGGAAAAGGACAGGGCCAGCTTTTTTTTTAAGAATTCATGAATGTTGATGGCTTGGATGGCACTGGAGTGAGTTTGGTTACAGATCGAAAAATGATTTGTGAGATGCAATTAGACTTGTCATATTGCCCTGACCCGAACCCGACCCAAAATTTTGGGTTTGGGTTGTCCCGAACCTGAAGCGGGTCGTTCGGTCCGAAAAACGCCCCGTTTGTAAATCGGGTCGGGTTTTGGGTTTACCCAGAAACCCGAGAATGGACCCGGAAAATGGTCGTGCCCGCTCTGACCGTTCCTGCCCGAAGCTGCCCAATGGCCCTGCCTAGCCAGGCTACCGGCTACCCCGCCTGCCCGACCCCGCCTGCCCCGCGACCCCGCCTACCCAGGCTGCCTGCCTGCCTCGCGCCGCATCACTCGCATCGGGTCGCCGTCGCGTCGCTCTGTTCGCTCGCGTCGCGTCGCTGCCTCGCCGGCACCGTGGTCGCACGCTTCAGGCCTGCCGCAGCCGCTGCCATGTCTGCCGGCCTGCGCTGTCCGTCTCTTGCGGGAAAGCGTGTCGGGTGGACCCGAACCCGAAGCAGGTAGGGTTCAGGTTCGGAAATTCGACCCGTTTGCAAAAACGGGTCAGGTTGACCCGAACCCGAGTAGTGCTGGGTCAGTTTCGGGTTCGACCCGAACCCAACCCGTGACCCGAAATTTACACCCCTAGATGCAATGATGAGTGTTATTTTGATAGATTTAGGCATTGTTTGGGATGGCTATTTTACTGCTTCTTGAAACAACTTTCTAGCACAAAAATTTTAATTTTTATACTAGAATACTGCTTCAAAAAACAATAAAAAGCTATCCCAAACGAAGTCTTAGATTTCATTTGGAACAACTTTCTTACTGTTTTTTAAATCAGTTCTTTAGTACTGTTTTAAAAAGCAGTAAAAAAGTTGTATCAAAGAAAGTTGTATCAAATGAACCTTAATTAGTAAGAGTTAAATGGTCTTATTATTATATTTAAAAATATAAATATTTTCTCTATCACCATGAATTCATGCATGTTCATGATGTATTGGATGGCAGTGAAAAGGGGAAAGGAAGATTTGATGTTAGCAACTTAATTTAGTATGAAGGATGTGAAAAGAGGTAAATAGAGAAAGCTACATAAACATGGATGGGAAAGGGCACTGAAATAGTGATTCTTCTTTCTTTTTCTTTTGGAGGATAAAAGTTGGATTGCTTTGATTGACTGCATGTTATGATAGGGATAAAACGATGGTGCAGCAAAATAATCAGCCTACCTCCGATAGTTTGGAGTGAAGAGTGTTTATCTTTGATTTCAAGTCCTCAACATTCTCAGCCTGTACCAAACAAACAAACAAAGAGTAAGCAGAAAATTGTCAATATTTGTGAAGAAATTTAGATATTTTGATTTTTTTTGGTATATGAAGGTTTGAGGTTGCGTAAATGGTATGCATGCTGGTGAGGAGAAATTGTTCTGTCGGATTTCAAACATAGAAAATCGTCCAGATGTTGCATATAGATTGCTTATAGACTACATATGAACTAAGCATAGACTGTGTATTTGTAGATATGCAATAAATACTAAGCCAATTATTAATTGTGAGTATTTACTGAATATTTAGTGAGTATTTTTTGCATATCAATAAATACACAGTCCATATGCGCTCCATACTCAGTTCATATGTAGTCCATACGTAGCATCCAAACGATCCTTTACGTTCGGATTCCGCACAGAATAATTTCTTGCTGGTGAGACACAAGGATGCCACAGGACAATAATCAACGAACCTCTGATAGTTTGGACTCGAGAATGGTTATCTTTGATTTCAAGTCCTCAACCTCCTTAACCTGCACCAAGCAAGTAAACAAATTACTAAAAACTGCATTGTACACGAACAAACGATGTTGAATACTTGGAACTGAACAGTTACAGTGCCAAAATAAACAAAAAGTTTATTAAAATAAAATCTACGTCACTGATTGTTACTGAGACATGAAATAACTGCGGTTTTTAATCATAATCCTCATCATTGCAACTCTTATCCAAGCTATCTGGGTCGGTATTAACTGAAGTGAAAAACTAAGATGTTAAAACAGAAAATGGCGTGTCTTACAGGAGATGGATTGAAGTTCTTATCATCAAAAAATTCATCTTTAAGAGAGGATGCTTCCTTCACCACAGGAGATTCCTTAAGAACAGAAGCTAGTTTTAGCCTAGGAGATACATCTGCTGCCTCCTGTTTCGAAGTTCCATTAACCGGTTGCAAAACTGGAGAATGTGGCGGGCTAACAAGAACAACTCTCAACTTGCATTCTTCTATAAAATTGCCACTTTCTTTTGAGAACTGACAAAAGGAAAAAAAAGCATATAGGATATGTGATTAATAAATATGAAAGTAAAAGAAATAAGAAAATAGTTCTCACGAAGGTAGATGTGATGTCCTCATCAGTGCTCCCAAATGGAACGATGGTGCTTTGAACAAGGAACTTGTCTTTCACTTGCATGTCAGGTGGAGCAGTGCGCTGAGCTTGCATGGTAACTAGTTTCAAGTAAAAAAGAAACAATATAAACATAAAATGTCAAAAGGAATGAACTTAGGCCTCGTTTGGTTGGCCGTAATTTCTTCGTTTTTTATTTCAATCGGTGAAAAAATTATTATTTTACTGTTTGTTTACGCCACTTTTTCAAAATACCTTTTGCTACACCTCCCTATTTTCGTCGATCTGAGAAAGAAAAAAAAAATCTACTTCTCCGTGTTAATACCTTCGTTTAAGAACGAAAAAACTGCGGGGGAACCAAATGACGCCTTAATTCCTAAGGCTTAACACCAACTCTAGTCGACCAAAATGTTTTCATTGTAGTTAGAAGTTGCACAACACTAAAATACCAAGGATGTTACATGCATTGTAAATATCTGAAATTTTCGAGTGCTTGCCGATACCTGTAAAATCACATGTTGATCGTGGCATAATAACACCCGTGTTGGGTCGTACACAATATCTCTTTGGAGAAGTGGTTTTAACCTGCAAATAGTAGTAGTCAAGCTCAAATGAAATCATATTTTACAGAAACGGCTTTCTTTGAGAGGACATGAGCACTCCACTGAAAAAGGAACTGAAGGATGGATCAGTTCCTTTCTGCTGAAGAGTTGGTAGCACAGTATGCTCAGAAAAGTAAACTTCGAAAAGTAGAAACAACTTGCAAAAAAATGGCAATCAATTTGGGTAGATTTTATATACAAGGGTTTGGTCAAGACTTGAGGTAGAAGAAAAGGTGGCTTCAAGCAAAAGCCAAAAACTGGTAGCACCTATCACCATCTAACTTTATTTGCCTTGAAAACTATCTAGGCAATAAAGAAACAACTTAGTGCCCAAAAACTATGCGATGAAAATATCTGTTGACAAATCCAAAAAATACATCCATAAAGAACCACCCACCCAATGAATGAAGATCAAATTTACCAACCAAAACAGCAACAATCATGAAACCACTTAGTGCCCAAAAACTATGAGATGAAAATATCTGTTGACAAATCCAAAAAATCCATGCATGAAGAACCGCCCACCCAATGAATGAAGATCTGATTTGCCACCTAAAACAGTAACAATCATGCAAGACAGAATGCAAGCTAAATAAGTGTAAACAGCATGGGAAAACCATTGGGAGAGACTATCAGAGAGAGTATGATTTAATATAAGCTTTATAGGTTGGATAACGGATATTGGGAGAACAATTAACCTTGAAATGAATTTTTTTTTTTCAGAGCAACAAATTCTTAATTACAACATTAAATAAATAATACAAATAGAAAATTTTACAAGAAGAGAATATAACCTTGAATGCAACATATTCATTAGACTTGTTAGAAAGTCGCACCAAACATGAACTTTGTTTCTTCAGCTCAACTAGCAGCATAAAACTTCAAGTTAGACTAAAACAGTATCAAGATCATGGCGCGTTCTTTTATATGTGCATCATGCATATAAAGATGAAAAACATGCTCAGAAAGCAGAAATACAAAATAAATTATATTAAGGTACAAAAATGGTTCTCTCTTAAGAGGAACAAACAAGCAACGTCAAGAAGCATTAGGGAAATTAACACAATTGTAGCATTGTAGCAACAGCAAAAGTTTTAGTCAATTCAATATTAATTTCATTTAAGAAACTTGTAAGCCCAATCGTTTCAAACAACTAGTTCAATGTGGTGTACAACTAGTCCTTTTAAATCTATTGGTTAATTTCAAGATTTTCTATGTTGATTATAGATTTAAAAATATTTGTTTATCAAGAGAATTCCGAAGACTATTTCCTTCAAATAACCAGCTCAATATGCATGTAAATAAACCCTTATAGTTTGTTAATTTTCACAGATCTATGGTGGAAATAAATTTTAAGAAGTTCATGTGTTATATCGTTCAGTCTGTTCCAAGCATGGACACAAGGGACTCTTAGACATATCATTTGACGAGTCAATATTTGTTTTCCTAATTATCCTGAGCCATCTCTTGGACAATTCTTAGCATTTTAGGTATAGATGTTCTACAAATACCAGCAAAAAATTTCACTCAAACTCAAAAATATACCAACTAAAACTTATTTTAGATTCCAATCACACCTCTTAAGCACTCCTAGACATCAATCTCATCCTTGAACACTTCTAGGACACCTAAGTTTTTTGTTTTACCATAGGATACTAATCCTATATTAATTTTAAATTTGTATAACACAACTTATATATTTATTTATGTATGTAATTTCTTTATTAAACTTCAAAATAGACTTGACTGGTATGGAAACTTATTATGCGTCATTAACAAGTCAACATCTCAAATAATACTCAATAATAATGAATGTAAAATGACGATTCATAAAATAAATCCTAAATCCCACAATGGTTAAGAAAAGTTTAATGATGGCGATGATCATCATCATTAGCTTTATCTAAAATATTTAGGTTTGACACTATGAAACCTAATTTTTTTTTTTTAAGTGTTGTTTAAGGTATTAAATTTTATATCTGTGAGGATAACAAGCCCTATGTGTATTATGGTCCTCTACTTTTCAACATCCAAATACACATCATAATGTGCCAGCTCCACATATTGATGTTTGTGCTTAAAGATAATTTTCCATATTACTTCTCAAATGAAGTTTATTGGCTTTCAATTGCTAAAGTCAAATAGTTACTTCCGTAAAATTCATCAAAAAATATATAGAATTACTTTGTAAAACAGGCAAGGGTAAATTTTGAATAAAAGTAAATAACTGATGAAAAAATAAATAATCATATATGGTATATATAACTATACACTCAAACAAGAACTATGCACGGAAGCAGCTTAATAATTTTTTAAGCAATATAGAGTCTTCCAAAATTTTCGGAAGTTGAACCCCATAATATTGAGTTTGATCGACTTATGAGAAAGCATGAGTAGATTAGGCTTACTCTTGGTTGTGAAGCTCTTTGGTGATTAAGAAAATCACATGTGATTTAAGTGGAGCTTGAGAATGAATGATCATGGGATTTTCCATTTTGAACAAAATGCCAACATAGGATACTTTCTTTTAAAAGCTTAATAACTTTTCTTTAAGGCTGGAACATAACATGACTTAATTGGACTAAATATGAAATGTTAGATTTTTCATAGCTTGTGGAACGGGTAAAAAATGAGATTGACTTGGTTTAGATGGATTTGAGTATATTTGAGTTTCATAAGCTATTTTGTGATATAATGATGAATATAAGAAGGCATTCTTAATATTTTCATGCCATCACATGGTGTAGGGATGTCAAACCTCACTAACAAGTTAGGTTCAACTCTAGCCCAAAAATAATTTGACTCGAATATGATTAACTCGGACAAAATAATGGTGGTGAGTATTAAGCTCTTCACACATCTTTCTCCATCAACTTTTATCTCAATAGTCTACTAAACATAGCTAAACATAATAAATACTCTAAAAGATGTCATTTTCATGTTGTCAAAATTGATCTCTCTCACATGCATCCATTTAACTAACCTATAAGATTCATGCATTTGTTGCGACAATCTACCTCATAAATTATTTAACTATTCAATGCTCCATTTATTTTTTCCCAGTGAATAGATTTTTGGACACCATCCCAACTACTAGAAAATTATAGTGTTTAACAACCTTTGGTACCCATGACTTCACCCATAAATCATGCAAAAACTATACACTCGTTCCAAACCCTATATTTGTCCTCAACTACTCCCCCATTCAAAGTGCTCATGTCTATCTTGACATCACCACATCCAAAATCCATGTCCCTCATCATGTCAAGTTTTGTTGATTCTATGTTTTCCTTTTCATCTCTATCACCATATCAGTACAACTCTTAAGAAATAATCTCCTCATGAGATTCTCCCATCATTTACATGTCATTTGTCCCTCCTCCAAGTCTTCATACACACCATTCACAATATCTCTATCTATTATGCTAGCATTCATAATTCATAAATAATCTAACCACCCAACACCCACTCAATTGATCCTTTCTCCACAAGTCACTCAACTATCCCCAATCACATCAAAATCACCCACCTACCTCTAAAACCAACACAACAACATCCACAATGATAATAAAACCCACCCAACCTCTCTTAGCCCAACAACACTACTAAATGACCACTTGGCAAAAAAAAAAAAAAAATCACAAACTATCCAAAAACTCATTCTCAGAGCAAAACAAAATCAATCACTAAACCAACCACCATAACCTAAGCACTGAATATCTTAAATTGCATCAGAGCTTGTGAAACGAATATGATGGTATTATTTGAAATGAACTTGAAAAATTATTCCACTGCCTCCACTCAACATTTGTTTAGTTGCAATTGCGTTTTTTAAAAAATAACTTTGATGGATATATTTATAGGTACAAGGCCACAAGCTTAATTGGCTACTAAAGGTTTTCGCCAATGACTGGGAATTTGATACACCTTTAGTCCAATTGTAAAGCTTGACATTATAAGTTAGGCTCTCAGCATGGTGATCAAATGACAGTGGTTTCTACATCAACAATTTATTAACAATGCCATTCTTCAAGGCCATCTTTCTGAGGATGCCTTCATGCATAAACCCCTGAGCTCCATAGACATAAATTATTCTACCTATCTATGCAAACTTTGCAATGCATTATATGGCCTCAAGCAAGCACCCTGTGCATAGTACTATAAGCTGTAATGATTCCTAGTTGCTTATGGGTTTACTAACTATCTTAAAAACACATCTCTTTACAATGAAAACTAGAGATACTCTTATCTATCTTCTTGTTTATATTGATAATATCATTATTACAAAAAATTATAACACAGCAGTACAACACTATCACTCTTCTTGCCCAACCATTCTCTATCAAGGATCTTAAGCCACTACTCAAATTCATTTGTGTAATTGTGTCAAAATTATTTTGGACTCAAAAGATTACTCTTATCGAAGTGCCAATACATTCTGCTTGCTCACACTAAGAGGTTACACCTCTTGCCAGCTCACCAACGCTCGCTCTTCATTCTGCCTTCGTTCTTATTGATTCTACTTATTGCAATAATGTAGCAGGCAATCTATAATATTTACCTTTTTTACATGCTCAAACATAGCTTTTTCAAGTAAGAAACTATCACAGTTTATGCACCACCTCCCCATTGATCATTAGATGGACTAAATGGCTATTGCGCTTTCTATGTGGCGCTATTGATTGTGGCCTTATTCTCATTGTGACTTGATCACCACTTCAATATCATGCATTCTCTATTGTTGATTGAACAAGTTATAAAATGATATTCCACTTAAATTGCTTGAGGATCAACCAATTGATGCTTTCACCAAACATATTTTTTGCACTCACTTCTCTACATCTAGCCTTAATATTAGACTCTCTGACTTAAACTCCATCTTGATAAGCATACATTGTAATTAACTTCAATATTATTGACATTAAGTTGATGGAATAGTAAAACTTAAGTAAATATTCATAAAACAAGCCCACAAATTTGTAATAGCAAAAGTTAGTTTTCATAGCAAACTAAAATTACAAAGAAAAATATCTAATTTGGTATCATAATATTGGAAGAGCAAATTTGAATCAATAATTCTATTCATTATAACATCATTGACTGTCATTCTCCCAACAAAGTTCAAATAGAAAAATGTCCGAAATAAATGCATTCATTAATTTATCCTTAGAGATAGGATACGAAATGAGCATATACGTGAAAAGGTTGGAATAACTCCAGTGGAAGATAAGATTTGAGAGATTCGCCTTAGATGGTTTGGTCACATAAAACGACGGCCTTCCGATTCCCGGTTAGGAAAGTAGAGGTATTATATTTGACTTATGTTAAGAAAGGTAGAGGTAGACCTAAAAAAACTTCAAAATATTAAAAATAATCATTCTTTATTAGATAGATTTAAATGAGAATTTGACTTTTAACATGACACAATGAGGAAAAAGGATTCATGTAGCCGACCCCATGTAGTGGGACAAAGGCTTGATGTTGTTGTTGGTCAACATTCTTTTGCCTAAATTGAGGAAAAATGTCTAGAAATTGTCACGATGGAACCAAACTCAAAGGTTGGACCTAAACAATAGAATTTTAAGGCAAAGAAGTAACAAACATACTATGTTACACATTATATTTTAAAAGAGGGTGAACTAAAGCATGTACAATGAAATAAGAACATAAGATGAGTATGACTAATAAGATAGCAGAACAACTAAATGTGAAAGTAGTAGGAAAGATAAAGGAAAGCCAAGGTAGAATGGATAAAAGTTGTGCAAAAATGCCTAAACATAAACTAGGAACTAAAACATGTATTAGCAAAAGGCTAAAAATGATGATAATTTGCTCATAAAGTATATAATTCCAATCACAGAAGGTCCCCAAGACTAAAAAGTGTTATGTAGAATTTTCAACACTCTTTGCCTAAATCGAGGAAGAATACCTAGAAATATTCAAGAAGCAACTAAACTAAGAGTTTGCAATGGAACAAAGCTATTTTAAGGTAAAGAAGTAACAAATAAAGCATGGTACAAATTACATTTTAAAAGAGGAATAACCGGCAATTATATAATATGAAAAATAGAAGATAAAATGACTAATAAAGTAGGGGATTTGCGGAATGTGAAAGTAATTAAAAAGAAAAGAAGAAAAACAAGGTAAAATGGATAAAAGTTTTGCATAAATTCCTTTTATAAATTAGGAACTAAAACCATAAATTAAGGATAAGATTAAAGATGATGTGATTAATTAAAGTTTATGATTCCAACCAAAAAGGCCCGTATACACTAAAATCTTTTATGTAGAATTTTTAAGATTGCCCCACACTTTTTACCTAAATTAATAAACAATATCTAGAAATCTTCACGAGGCAAACAAATTCCGAGGTTGCATTTGAACAATACATGAATCCTAATTGACATCTCAAAAGATGATTAAAAGTAATATACAAATATTATACGAATGAAACCGAGGTAAAACATTTTTGGATTTTGGATCGGGAATTGCACTTATTAGCATGGTGATTTCTATTTTGAAGGCTTGGGATAGAAAATTCACTACCAATCAGTTAGTTGAGCGGTACTGTCTTTAATATATAAAGTAGAGCTCAAAGGTTCGAACCGTTGAGAAAAAAAAAATCATCAACCTTTCACTTCTTATATTCTATTTGAAAATGCTTTATATCAATCCATTAACCATCTTTCATAAGTTTCAGAACAAAAAAATTTACATTAATGACATAAATCCACAAAAATCCAACTCCACGATCACGCCATTGGATGATCAACTCTATGAAAAAGGCAGAAACCATTCAAATTAAACCAAACGATATCAGTAAGAAACAGGTTCATTTGCTCATCATAATTAAATTTCAAACCCAGGTACAAACTTACATGTAAACTTGAGTTCCCTCGGTTGGATCTCCAACAGTTCCGATTCCATCCTCAAAGCCTACTGCCGACAAAACACTTTCCTTCCACAATCCAAAACTCCACTCCCTCAATCCGCTAAACCCCAACCTGAACAATCAAACAGTGGGCAAAATCCAATCAAAAAACCAACTCCAGAACGATAGCCGGCCATAAAAAATACCAATATTTAACGCTCAATTCGATATCATTTTATGAAAGTAAAGTTGCATAAATCTTTGTTTTAAAATTTCAAAAACAACAAAAAATTAGAACTCTTGTTTAGGGTTAATTTTATTAAGAAAAAGACTTTTACAATTCACCCCCCCTCTTGTCGTTTAGTAATTTCAAACAAATGTTATTGGAATGCTAGATTGATTGAATCCTTGGAGACCTATAAGATTAGTTATAGGACCCTAACTTAATCCACTTCATTTTCCTTATTCTATGGGTCTGAGACTATTCTCCCTCTAAAAGTGAAACTTCCCTTAGTGAGAATCTCCTTTCCAAATGAAATCATAACTAAAAAAAATGCCTAACTTTGAATGGAAGAACTTGAAGGTCTTGAAGAATGTTGCTTGCAATCTTAACAAAAGCTTGAATTATATAAGGAACAGATGGTTCAAGCTAATGAAAAATTGGTTCCCTGAAGAACTTTCCAAGTAGGAAATTTGTTCTTGCTTCTTCAGAGACCTATTTTGGCCTATCAAAATATTTGTGGAAAGTTAGAACCAATGTAGGAGGGACTGCTCATCGTTGATATTGTCTACGAAGGAGATTCTAACAAACTAATTGATTATAAAGGAAACCACACAACACTTCCTATTAATGGGAAATACCTTAAAAATTATTATAGTTGATGTAAATAGAATCAAAATAAAGAAAAACTCTTCAAATTTGATTCTCCAAATTTAGAATTTCAAATCCAAAACCCTACAAATTCAAATTATTGTTTATAATTAAAATATCTAAGATTGAAATCAATTTCAACCCCAATTCAAATTTAAATTCAAAAAATTAAAATAAAATATCCATCAAGAGTTCCTAGGCTTTAAAAAAAATCATATTTGTTAAGGATGCGAAACAACTCATAACCCTTATTTTTAGTCTAAAGCCATCTACACTAATATGTATTCTCCAATGGATATACTATTATGTTGTTCTAGATCTTTTACTAAGGATATGACATTCAACATCAAATCTTTAAATTTATTAAGGATAGGTGTGAGTCCCAGTTCTTTCATTCCCTAGCATTAGATTAACTTGTGGCAGAAGAAGTCCCCTTGGCATAATCCTAGCACTTAAAATCAAATTATCTAGTGCTTTAAGGATAGATGCGAATCCTCATGCTTCCTTTCCTTATGATTAGATTTGCTAGTACTTGAGGAATCCCTTATGGCGCAATCCTATTAAAAAAAAAAGAGATTTAGATAGATTCCTCCTAATCTCTAATAGGTTGGGTAAGTAGCCCCTTGACTAAATTATGATGGGTAAGTATAAGGCCCTGAGGCATCTTTTTTAGTCTAGCTATGAAAAATATGAAATAAATCTAGGGTTAGATAGAATTTACCATATCCCCAGAGGTTTAGGTAGACTATCTACTAGACAAGTTTCCCCTAGTTAGATGTGAGTCTTAGTTCTTTCTATCTAGGTTAGTAATTAAATATTTGAAAGAAATTATAATCTTTTCTAAATGGGTGTGAGTTATTAAGCTTCCTATCTACTGTGATCTTTAATTATTATATATATATCTTTCAATAATAGGCTTGAGTTTTCGTGCTTCCTTTCTTTAGGTCTAGATGTAAATCAAATTTAAGAAATTATGGTGTTTTAGGAATAGTTGAGAATCCACGAGCTTCCTATCTCCTCGAACTAGTAATACCTAAGATTGAATTTAAGCCTATTAGGCCTCATCATAGCCTAATCACGCATTAGTATCTTAAGGTTATGTGTGAGTCTTCGTGCTTCCATTCCTTTGATCTAAAGATAAGTCAAGTTAATGAAATTATAATTTTCTAGTAATAAGTGTGAATCCTTGAGCATCCTATCTCCTTGGACCTATACTTGCTATTGTTTGATTTAAGCCTATTAAGCACTTTCATAGCTTAGTTGTTCTATAGTATCGTCAAATTTTGTGTGAATCCTTATGCTTTCTTTCTTTATATCTTAAGGTAAGTTAAATTAAAAAATAAAGCTATCTATTAGGTTTAAGTCCCTCATCAGCATCCTTTAAACTTAAGGTTAGGTGTGATTCCCAAGTATTATCCCCTCAAAATCATGTAAATTGCATTAAGAGATACAACCTATTAAGATAAAGTGTGAGTCCCTATGATTCTTTTCCTTGGAATTATGATCACTAGTACTAAATAAAGCTATTCTGGACCCTGTGGTCTTCCAAATTTTATGTCAATTAACTTCCTTTCTTCTTTGAAAATGATATGTACGATGACTATTGCTCGCCAATAGGATATGAGTGAGTTGTTATAGTCATTTAAAAATGGGAATAATTTTTTCTTAAATAGAACCACTTGGACTTAAATTAATCATTTTAGCTAATGACAACACAGGTGATTAACTCTTTCAAGCTCTTCATACAAATTGGGGGTCTATTTGTTGACCACATTTTTGTGTGAGGATAAAAATTTATATAAAAAATTTGATCTCAAACCAAATACAAATTCAAAATCTAACATAAATCCCAAATCCAAAAATAGTATTTTCAAAATCAAAACCAAAACCCTTTGGATTTTTCCTTATTTTAGGGAAAATTTCCAATGATTTAAAATCCTATAAAATGACTTTGGAATCCTGTGTGGTTATTTACATATTAAATAGGCATTTCTTTAGAGTCTTCCGTGCCATTTTGGAGGCATTCATATCCCTATAAATCATAAAAACAAAAGCATTCTCCAAGGCTATAAAACTTTTAAATATTTTTAACTCATGCCATTAGACCCTACATCTCACGAAAAATCACCATAGTGGCATTCCTAAAATCATTGAACATGTTCATAATCATTATCATATTGATTTGAACTTCCTTTATCTCTTGATTGACCATACTTTATTAATAAAACCCTTAAACGCTAAACACACCTAAACGGCTAAACCAAAATTTTCATAAACTTCAACATTTCTCAATCAAATTGAACCCCAAAACATTTTCCAACAAACTCTAAACCTCATTTGGATTAGGTTAGATAGTAACCCAAGCCTTGGTCAAGCTTGGTTTACTAAATTAACCATAGTTGACCAAATGAACCCTTAAAACCCTAATTATGTATTTTATACAAGGAGACAATACTATTGCAAGATACATCTTCCAATAAGTTCAAAGTATAATCTAGAATGAGTTAAACCTAAACACAACCCCAAGTCAAACATAGTTGACCAATTCAACCATGGTTGGCCAAACCAAGCCTAAATATTTTCAAACCTTATTATAAATCTTAAGCTTTAACAAAACAAATTGATCCCTTGAGACTATCCATTGGGTCCCTAGGAATAAACCCTAGGTGACCCAGCACTTAGATCCACTTGGGCTAGCCATAATGCTTGACCCAAGTGGTATAAATGACCATTCCATGTGCCAAATCAAACCCAAATAAAATTTTCCTAAGATAACCCCTACATTAGATGACTATTAATCATATGCCCCTACTATGGTTAGCTCATGGACCATTAATCATATGCACCTACTATGGTCAGCCTAACCCCTAGGTCAGCTAATTGGGCTGACCCAAAGTGACCAAAACCATTGATCCTAAACTAATTTGAACTAAACGCTTCACCAGGGGAAATTGATACTTGCATTACATTCAACAAGCTTCCAGACTTCATTCCACCTCACCAAATGCCATGTGGTAGTTGGAGTTAATCACAATCAATGAAATAGACTATGTCTCGTATGGCTTCAACCCAGAATTGAAACCTTGTAACTCTAAGGCTTGGAACTCTTTAGAAGGTTTCTCTAGGCCACATGTGACCATCCCAAGAAGTCTAGAAAGATATAGAAAGCTTATATGGAAACAATTATCCAACTAAGTGCACTTTCAAAACTCTATAAATACTCTAAATTCTTCAAAAGTGAACTTACTTTCTTAATTTAAAAACTATTAAGAGCTTTCTTGGATTAAATACCCAACCACTCGGCCCCTTTGGTGGCCATCCTTAAGTGAGTTTGAGCGACCTCTGTGTGAGCAAGTAAAATTTGTATCTATAGATTTAGGGTGCTCCTTCTTTTGTAATTAAAATTGGCATTAAAAATTTCATACTATCATAAGAAATGGATACATTATTTTTATAATTGATTCAAAGAAAAAAAAGGGTTTTAAAATTTTTTATTTTTGTAGTTAAAAATAACAAAAAAAATCATGCCATCTTGAAAGGAAGACATGCCATTTTAGAATATTATTTAAAGGCAATAATGATGTTTTGGAAAATTATCATTTTTATAAATAAATATGATACTTGCATTACATTCAACATGCTTCCATACTTTTTGCCACCTCACCAAATCCCATGTTATAGTTGGAGTTAATCACAATCAATGAAATAGCTTATGTCTCGTATGGCTTCAACCCAAACTTGCAAACCATGTAACTCTAAGGCTTGGAACTCTTAAGAAGGTTTCTCTGGGCCACATGTGACCATCCCAAGAAGTCTAGAAGGATAAGGAAGCCTATATGGAAATAATTATCCCACTAAGTTCACTTTCAAAACTCTATAAATACGCTAAATTCTTCAAAAGTGAACTTACTTTCTTAATTTAAAAACTAATAAGAGATTTCTTGGATTAAATTCTCAGCCACCTTGCCCCTTTGGTGTCCATCCTTTAGTGAGTTTGAGAGACCTCTATGAGAGAAAGTAAAATTTGTATATGTAGATAAGGGTGCTCCTTATTTTGTGATCAAATTTGGCATTAAAAATATCATACTATCTTAAGAGATGGATATATTATTTTTATAATGGATTCAAATAAAAAAAGGGGTTTTAAAAATTTTATTTTTGTAATTAAAAATAATAAAAAAACTATCATACAATCTTGAAAGGCACACATGTCATTCTAGAATATTATTTAAAGACAAAAAAAGAGGTTTTTGGAAAATCATCATTTTTTATAAACAAATGCAATAGAGAGAAT